CCCAGACACAATCAATGAAGAGAGAGAGTTACAAAGATGGACTTTACTCACTCTAGGCAGAAAGCCTAGCAAACCATCAAAAGACTTTATGGCGATTCAAGCCTCGGCAAAAAGAAGTTTCCAGTCATCACAAATGCTGTCACATCCCAGCTAGTGGCTAATGGCAGTACACAGAACTTGGGTAAGTCTTGCAGCTGTGCAGCAAAGGTTGCTGAGGTTACAGAGAGATGGCAGGTTCTCCATCAATCAGTCCTGGTGGCACCTTTTTCAGCCAAAGAACTGGACCAGCCCATAAAGTTTATTAAAAGAGGAAAGACATCAGACCTGGATTACAGCCACATGGAGCTCCTTCATAGAATCATAGAAGATTAGGGTTGGAAGATACCTCAGGAGGTCATCTACTCCAACCCCCTGCTCAAAGCAGGACCAACACCAACTAAATCATCCCAGCCAGGGCTTTGTCAACCCTGACCTTAAAAACCTCTATGGATGGAGATTCCACCATCTCCCGAGGTAACCCATTCCAGTGCTTCACCACCCTCCTAGTGAAATATTTTGCTCTGTTTACAAAGATCCTTATTTATTATTCTGAGAGCAAAAGAGGATAACCCTACACAAGAACAGGTCTAGCTTAGGGTAAAAGGAGGTTGAGGATGGAATGCTGTCAGGACCCACCCTCATTCTAGCATGGGTAATTAAGTCCCTCCTGCAGCTTCAGGTTGATATGGTATTCGTCGCCAATTCCAATTCTTAAACTGGTGAGCAGTGTTGCTGTGAGCTGTTAAACAGTGGCTGTGCTTCACTACAGAGGTGGCTGCATTCCAGTATATCCCGCACAGGCGTTCCGAAGCTTAATTGAGTATCGTATCTGTGAAGCAACTTGAGGCCTGTGCCAAGGCATTCATGTGCTCCAGCATGGAAGGAGTTACTGGGTTCTGGCCAATCAGAGGTGAGTAGAGGAGAGCTCACCCAGCAACTGCCTGAGCTGTACCTAGCACTCTCTGTGAAGTGTATATGGGGACTACTTTAACATATGCCTTTTACTGGCGCTCTCGGCAGGCAGGTGACACATTGGGACAGTGGCTAAGAAGAGGTCAAAGGGGGTCTAGCCGAGCCTCAAGGGAGCTGATTGGCAGCACCTCACCCATCACCTCTGAATTCAGCCCTCCCTTCCTCTCTGTAGAAGTGAATTCCCACTCAGCACATTACTTCCCATTTCATTAGCAATCCTCCCACAAGCCACAGAGAACCCAGCCTGCTGCCAGGCTGAAATTGGCCCAGGTTTCCCTGAGGAGATCCTGGATAGTCTTTCCCCAAAAGCACTGGGAAAGGTCAATTCTTTTCCTGAATCTCCTGGATTCCAGTAGCACAGCAGGGCGGTGCCAGAGCTCATTTTGTGTTACCATTACCTGAGGGGACTACACAACTGGAGCTCAGGGTGTCAGCACGAACCCCAGGAGTCCCAGTTGTCAGAGGAGATAGACCCAGCATGGGTTTCACTTCAGGTGGATGAGTGGTGTTGTTCTCTTGGAGATGTTTTCATCCTGGGTTTTCAGTGCGTGCCAGTGAGATACGTTGGTACCAAATGATGAACTCGCTGTTGTAATATGTGATTGCATAAGCCTGGGCATGCCCAAAGAGACCCTGTTGTACAGCATTACACACTGCTGCCCTGACCGGGAATGGCGTCAAACAGCTCACGGAGGGCTAACACCATGAGCCATCAAGCCTGCAGGCTGGGCCAATGATTTTGATTGGCTCTCAGCTACTGTCCCAGCCCATGAACAATGGGCAAGCATGACTGGTGGCCAGGAAACAGGCCCCCTATTTAAGAGCAGAATTCTGCTCTGTGCATTGTCATAGGTAACTAGGGCTCAGCGGAGGGACTCTGCCCAGCTGGAAACACTGAAGAACCTCTGACGCACAGAAGGGCAAGATCAGACACAGGACATTGGTTCAAAGAGCTGTAACTCTTGAGAGCTTTAAATGTCTCTGTGGCTAAGAAATTCCTTTGCCAAGCCTGGGGGCCTTGCCTTCCTGCCACCTTGTACGTGAAGCGGTTAAACTAGAAGGCCAGAGTGCCTAGGTGGGCAGTGTGTAAGCGACTGGGGGATGGGGGTGGTTGGGAGGTCTCTGACACTGATTTTGGGGTCTAGAGCAGCTGTGCCCCACATCCCAAGGAAGGGCATGAGCCCAGGAGTGTGCCATAGGATCCCAGAGCTAGACACAGTGACTGGATTCTACCCAGACCCAAATGGCTTGGAAGCCCATGGAACCCAGCAATTAGATCCACTTGCAGGAGACTGGTGCCCGTACAGAGGGAGACTGGGCCAGATTGTAATATCCAGCACTAGGACTGTAGGGACAAGAATGATGTAAAAGCTAAACTTCCTGTTTGCTTTGAGTTTGGCCAGGACTCTGTAACCCACTGGTGAGTGTGTGCTACAGGTTTCCCACTGTACCTGATCCACAGAGAACATGAGTTTGTTACAATCCCACCCATGGCTGCCTGACTCTCTAGCTGTAGACACTCACGTTTTTACCTCCAGTGGTCCCCAGTTCAATCCCCAGTGTGTTGGCCAAGCTGGGGGCCACCACATATGCGGCAGTGATCTGCCCCGTAGCCATCACCCAGCCCCTACTATCCTGAATGCTGATGCCCAACTGTGCCACTGGCAGAACCATGGCCTTGTGTACTGTTGCCTGTCTGAGGAGCGAGGGAGCCCCCTAGCTTTCCACACTGGTACAGCTCCTGAGCTGGAGCCCCTCTGCATCCAAGCGCACAGAGCCTCCGGGACAGCACTTGTCGCCCATGCTTATTTGTATGCACTGTTTGAAAGGTGGTGGTGTGTTAATTGGGATGGAATATACAGTGTTGGCATAACCCAGACCCTGCCCAGCATTAAACTGTGTTAAACAAGGTTCAGGGTTTGGTACACAAAGACCTGCTCAGTGCCATGGCAAACACCCCGTTAAACAGCCTTCTAAACCTTTTAGTAAAGATATAGAAATGAAAGGAAACAGTTAATGTGTTTGAAATGCAAAGTATTAAGTGAGGCTTTCTTTTTAACAACATCCCTTATTCCCTTTCCCCGCAGCAGGAGAGAGTCTTTAAAATGAAAAAGCCCCTGTCTGACAATCCTTTAGATGGTAAGAACTGTCCATTTGGGGGAGGGGGGAGAAGAGAAGAAGTTAGTTGAGAGGGGCTGGAGCAGTCATTGTTGCTGTTGTTAAATCGGATCTCATTTCCTAAGAAGACAAAACAAGACAAACAAGAGGGAAGAGAAAAGAACAGCAAAGGCAGGAAAATGCAGCTTCTGTCTCTGGGGTTGACTCTGACATGCAACCTCACTGCTGGAAAAACACAGACCCAGCACATGGTCTGACCAGCTGCGCCGAGACCTGGCAAACTCGTACCAGCATCAGGCTGTTTAGGGCACTGGTTTAGCTACCTCCGTCTGGCCACAGGCTCACAGCAGTGCCGTAAAATGGATGGTCTTGGCCAGCTAAGTCAAATTCTTATTAAGACAGAAGGGACAAGCAGAGGAATAGGAAAGAGAAGAAATAAAGTGGGGAAGGAAAAGAACACACAAAGCTGGCAAAGTCCCACATCCCACATGGCAGGATTCAGCCACAGCTGGTGGAGGTGGTGATGTCATCGGGATCCCTCTCTCTGACCTGGTTGGGTCAGGACACCTCTCAGGATTAGCACAAAGAAGGGCCAGGCACAGGAGATGGTGGGGGTGGCAGCCATGATAGTGAAGGTAACTCCAGTAGCCAGTTTTTCTCCCAAAGTCTCTTTCTGTAAGAAACCCTGAAGGCAGTGGTGGGTGGAACAGCCCATCCCCTCATTATTTTGTCCACCAATTGGGCCTAATATCAGACACACCAATACTAGCTTATTGATTTTCAGTCTCACATTGTTCCTATTTACTAGGCATGAGCTTAACACGATCCTTAAGTTATAGGCTTTTCATTTGCACCTTTTCCCATCAGCATTAACTGTCTAGGTTATTGTGACACCTTAGGACCTTCCACTCCTCCCTTCTCACAGTTAAGCTCAGAATGAGAGTAAATTGATAGGCCAGTCATCACACTGTGTTGCTGTCCGATAGGACCAGCAGGGATTCTCTTGCACCTGAGGGCTGGGGTTCTTAGGAAGAGGCTTCTATACCTCTGCCATTTGGTGCATATTTCCTATGCAATTCCATGTAACTGCACCACCCTGCTGTGCATCTCCCTGAATAGAAAGATATTCTGCACTTCCAGAGTCACAGGCACATAAGTTCTAATATTAGTACTTATTTAAGATGTGTTTGAAAGGAAGAGGGACATTAGCCTCCCCCACACTCCGGTAGCATTGGTGAACATAGGTTTAAGCCTGAATGTGCGGGAGTCTCAGTTACAAGCAGGGAGTCCAGCTCACGGCCTATACATCACCTCTGGAGCTGAGGGACTTCCACAAATGCAGCTTTTCACCCCTGGTATCTGTGACTGGCAAGCCCTTAACCAGTGTTCTCCTTGGTCTCTTACAGATTGCAGTGAATGGTGGGCCAGAGGCGAAGGATTTAAACCCAGTGCCAGGAAGAACGAACAAGGTTCACCATGGATAATACAAATGAGATTCCTGCCGGAGGACGGGGAAAGGGGAATCCCAGCTGAGGTAGTAAAAAGCCCCTAATCTCTGACTCCTGAGCCATTCACCAGGAGGAAAGCGCCATTTCCTGAACTGCTTCACCTTTTTTACACCCCGACTGGCTCCTGGCAGTACAGATCTGACTCACTTGCCTGATTATTAATCTGATTTCCAGGGATCTGGAGGAAAATTTCTGGCTTGGTGCCAGGAAGTGCATTAGAGACATTGACTTGCTGCCCACAGGCCATGCAGGGACATTCTCTCCCCTCTTACTGACAACAATGGAAAACCCAGCAAAGGGGCAGAGCATTTCTTAATGTGGACTCCATGTGTTTAACCCCTGTAGAGCCGTTGGGAACAGCATTGGAGAGTGTTAGGCGATGTCGTGGAGGATCTATCTGAGGGCTCAGTGAGGGACCAGCTTTGCTGCCTAAAAAGCAGAGCTACTGGATTTAAGCCTTTGGGATCAGCTGTTATGAAGGGTGACTTGGAATTCCAGGTGCATTTCTCTGCTGCAGCACCCTGCTGTGAGACCTTCAAGAGCCGGGATTGTCTATTGCTTTGTCCTTTCAGGGACTTTTTATAGGGGGTTGTTCCTGGTGGCCTTGGTGCTTTGTCTATAACTGATGAGCCTCTTCACTCAGCCCATGGGCCTCCTCCCTTGAAGTGAAACAAAGAGGCGCAAGAGAGAGAGAGAGGGAGGGCAGCTCACCTCACCATGGTGCTGCCGCCGCCTGACAAGCGCCACGTGTGTCTGACCACCATTGTCATCATGACCAGCATGGCCTTCATGGATGCCTACCTGGTGGAGCAGAACCAAGGGCCACGGAAGATTGGCGTCTGCATCATTGTCCTGGTGGGAGACATCTGCTTCCTCATTGTGCTGCGCTATGTGGCAGTATGGGTGGGGGCTGAGGTGAAAACAGCCAAGCGGGGCTACGCCATGATCCTGTGGTTTCTCTACATCTTCGTGCTGGAGATTAAGCTGTATTTTATATTTCAGAATTACAAAGCAGACAAGAAGAATCTGGAGACAGTGGCCAGGAAGGCTTTGACCTTGCTCCTGTCCATCTGTGTGCCAGGGCTCTACCTGGTGCTGGTGGCCTTAGACAGCATGGAGTACATACGAACCTTCAGGAAGAAGGAGGATCTGCGGGGACGCCTCTTCTGGGTGGCCCTGGACCTGCTGGATATATTAGATATTCAGGCCAACCTATGGGAACCACATAAGACTGGGCTTCCCATCTGGGCAGAAGGGCTCATGTTCTTCTATTGTTACATACTGCTCTTGATCCTGCCTTGTGTCTCTCTTAGTGAGATTAGCATGCAAGGGGAGCACATTGCTCCGCAGAAAATGATGCTCTACCCTGTGCTGAGCCTGGTCACCATCAACATTGTCACCATATTCATCCGGGCCATTAACATGGTCTTGTTCCAGGACAGCAGGGTCTCCACTATCTTTATTGGCAAGAACATCATTGCTATAGCCACCAAGGCATGCACTTTCTTAGAGTATAAGAAACAGGTGAAAGAATTCCCCCAGAATGCTATTGCCCTGGAGCTCCAGCAGAACTCAATCTCTCACAATCAGACTATCCACAGTACACAGGGAATTTCTCATGAGCAGTCACCCACTAGGGAAATTCTAGATACATGACGGATCACCTCCGGACATCAGCATTGGCTTGCATTGCATTGGGGAGTGTAGGGAGGTGAGAAGCTGCTCTCCCATTGTATGGGGCATGTGTGATGGACAAGTCCCAGCAAGGAGAGCTCTCCCAGGCACAAAACACTTACCATGTTTTAATCAAACTATGGAGTGTTTCCTAGACCTCTTCATCTCAGGTATAGCCCTAGGAATTCTCCAGAATAACCAAATGAACTTGCAAAGGACCTGAACCAGCTACGCCCTCTGTTTTCCTTCCACCCACTCCTCCCCTGCCCAACCAAGTTCCTTGATGCTGAGATTTCTCTCTTTGTTCCTTAAGACTCTCACCTTTGCTCCAAGTCTGGAATGAAGATATTGTTACCAGAGTCCTTTGTATGGAATGGGAATGGGCGGGAGGGGCGTTTGCACCAGTTAATCCTGTGATTATAGATGTGTCTTATTTCAAACGGTTGTGTTTACTGTTCCCTATTTATAACTGTCTCTTCTTTGATCCTTTCTGAGAATCCCCATTGTTGGGTCTGGTTTCTTTTGGTTTGTAATCCACTGGAACAGCTCCCTTTGCTATTTGTCCCAGCAGGAACAACACAAAAAGTAGCACCCAACACAATAAACAGCTATGTCTCTCCTCTCATTCTCATGCTACTCGGCTCAGGCTGCTGGTTGGGAAGCAGGGATATCCATCTCTGCTAGTGCACTAAGCCAACTCAGTGGGGAGCAGTATTTGACAAGCTAATGTTAATCTAATGCTGGTGTTTTATGTATCTTGTTCACTTCAAATGACTCAGCACAATATTTCTATTTTTAGAAGGATCTCTCTCTCGCTCGCTCTGGCAGTGCGAACGCTCCTGACTACAACAGATGGTGCAGTGCAGCTGCCCTGGTGAATCCAACCAGGGCCAACATGAGTGGAAGCAGATGCCGAGGAGAGCTAATAATAATGACGATGATGATGATGATGCATTTCACTCCAGCATCAGCGTTTATAAAGAGGGCTGCTTTCCACAGCTACTATATTTTTAAAAATAAAATATTTCCATAAACCGGAAAGAAGTGCTGCTTGAGCCACATGACCATGGGAGGGCTGGGAACCAGCACCATGTACAGATCTTCTCCCCTTTGGGCATGGCAAACGGCTCATACAAGCAGCTGTGGGGCAGCTGAATAATAAAAATAAAAACCCAGTGAGAACAAATGGATCTGTAGTTTTGTGTCTGTGTTTGGCGGCATGTGGAGGGCTTGTAGTACTGCAACACTGCTGGTGTCCCATCTCATTTGGGATCTCCTGAACCCACAGCAGTTCCTGACACCAGCATTCCAAGCTCCACAGCATCTTCTCTTGCTACTCCATCCTGATTCCAAAGCACATGGCTGTGCTCTCTTCTCCCCAGAGAGCATGATCATGATGCGTCTCATGGCCTCCCCCAGGTGCCATAGCTTGCTCATTCTGCTGCCTAGAGCTGGCTGAAAAATTTTTGATGGAACAGTTTTCCATCAGAAAATGATGTTTCATCGATTGCAAAATGTTTCATGGGAATGTGTTGATTCTGATGACGTTTTTCTATAGAAAAATTTCAAAATGATTGGCAGTCAAACTGGAATATTGTGCTTTGACTTTCTCATTTCATTTTGTGTTTCCCATTTTGTTCCATTCTGATTTTCTTGTTTCAGTTTGATTTTTACATTACATTATAAAATATTAATTCTAATATTATTTGGTATTTAAATATATTAAAATTAAACATTTCAGTAAGGTTATTTCAATGTTTCAGAAATGAGATTTTTTTTTTCAGAATTTCCATTCTGTGAAAATTTCAACTTTACATCCTAATACTGGATGAAAACAAATTTTGGAATTTCAGAATGTCCCACAGGCCAGATGTTCTGATTTCTCTCCTGCTGCCCCTACCCACCATAATACACCCATGCTGGTACTGCTAACCCCCAAAATAGCATGGTCATGCTACTCGCTTCCCTCCCCACCCCAGAGCATATCGCTGCTGACTCTGCTGTCCTCCCTGACCCAGGAAGCCCTGCGTCAAAACCCTGTGAACTAGTCTCTCATTCTGCTTTTCTCAGGGGAACATAGACAATGCAGGGCACCGAGGCGATGGCAGGGCACTGCTGGCATGACATAGATTCTTATTTACCCAGATCAGGTGCCCATGGAATCCAATTTGCCATCAGGCAATAACGGATCCTCACTGGCTATAGTGCTACTGTAACGCACTGTTACCATGAGGGGTATGTGTCATCCTCTGTTCCTGACCCCAAAGGCTATGAGTCTGTTGCTGCCTCACACCACTCCCTTCAGAGGTTGGCTGTTCAGCGCGTGCTGCAGCAGCATGTGCTTTTTAGTGCTGGATGACCTGGGTTCAACCGTAGGGTCAGCCAAGGCAGCGGCCATCCCACTGCAGTGCAGATATTCAACAGCTTTCAGCAGGCGGGGCAATGTTTTCAGACGCAGATGCCTAGACTTCCAACATGGCCTGCTCTCTGGAGTGCTTCGCACATCCCCCAGGGAGAGCAGGAGGCAGAGGGTGGGCAGCAGTACCTCAGTTCTCATGAAAGCCGTAGCTGGTTTTGACGCTCTTTCTTTGAAGGAGGTGTGGGGGGCTCACTGAGTAGCTACGGACTGAGCTCTAGGGACATGCCACACTTCCCTGAGAGGACAATGTACAGACAACTCCTCCTCGCAGTGCCATGGCCCAACTGCCGCCCTGCCCCCTTTGGGGCACTGCACCCTCCCGCTTGTTGCCTCCATGTCCTCACTCATTGCCCTGACAACATCTGTCCCCAGGAGTCCCAAATCACTGGGCTGGAATGGCCTGTCAGGTGCCACTGCAGCCCTGTGGCCTCTGCTGTGAAGCCTTCCTGTGGCGAAGGTGCCCTTCCTCGTAGTTCGTGCGAACCACCAGACCTTGCCCTGGATTGGAGACCCCTTCTACAGCCTTTGGGATGCCAGGCTTCACCCAGAAATCACTGCAGCCCCGCGATACTCCCAGAGCCCTCCAGCAGCAGCTCCACAGTCCCTGACCAGGGCCCTGCCTTCCCTGCCACATACACAGGCCCTTCCCCCATGCCATCCCCACCCTGCAATGGGAGGAGGGCAGCAGAGGTGGGAGTTCCTGCCAGTTCCCGAGCCAGGCAAGACTGTGGGTTTGCAGGGCTGGCTCTGCTCTCTGTGCATGGGGGGCCCAGGCATAATGCTCAGGCCGCTGGGAACCCCAGCAGGCAGTGCTGTGTCCTCTACAGCCAGCCTGCCAAGGCAGCCATCACTCCTCTTGCTTCAGAGAGCTCAGCAAGCTGCTGTCAGGGTGAGAGATGGCCCTGGATCTGCATGTCATCGAGCCTGCAGATGCCCGCTCCAGGGTCTGGGCATGGCCCATCACAGTCAGGGCTTGGGCACAGAGCACCGAGTGGGAGCTTTCGCCCAGTGTCAGGAGAGTTTGAACTTGTCCCAGTTACCATGTTCAGACCTGGATCTGAGCTCCCTGTATCCCAGGGCGGGGGGAGGGGGGGCAGGGTAGGACAAGACAGGGGATTGGGCCCAGGACTGGTTTCAGCCCATCTCTAGTCAGGACAACAGCCTTGTCCGCATGGGCACCCAGGGGGCCTGTACTTAGCGCGTCTCACTGCAGCGTACTGGGAAAGCTGGAGCCGGCACTCATTATCTGCACAGCAATGGGCAATCTGCACTGACGCCTCCCACCGCTGATTATACGGGGACAAGGCCACAGCGACAACACGGTCATCTAGGAACAGCTAGTGTGAGCCCTCATGGCTATGGGATTTTGAAAGAAAAGATACACCTCACCCCCGACACACACACTCTCAGCCACTCTCTCTACCCTGTCCCACCTCACTCCACCCACTTCAGCCCCAGCCACCCCCCTGTACAAGCTGGGACCGAGCCTACTCAGTGACCAGGGTTCCTCAGAGATGTAACGAGACAAAGCTCCTTCATGAGGTTCCATTGCCACCCCAACAAAAGGGCTACCTCCCCCCACACAGCAGAAGCTGCCCAGATGGCTTTGGGGACATGGGGATATGCTGTCCCTGGTTAGTGTGGATGCCCATGGTTAGCTGGCACCCCACACGCTGGGTCAGAGTCACCAAATTCATTGTATAATCGGTGCTAAATGGAGCTGGTGACGGCTGTGTTCCTCTTGAAACAGAAAGGTACGCCCCTCCCTCCCCCCGCTCCCACCTCCCTGAGAACATGGGCCACAGTAAGTGATGCTCCATCTTGCTGTGGGACTTGTACCAGATCTAATGTGGGGAGTGTTCTGAGCCTGAGGAATTACCTGCGAGTCCTAAGGGCCCAGCCAATCCAGGTGACCCAGGGCAGGGATCTAGGCTCCTAATGAAAGCAGCCACTCCAGTCTGCTCAGCATTGCTACCTTGTTGGGGACTCTCTCTGCTACATGGTAGTGCTGACAGACCACTCCAGCTACATCCAACCACCCAGCTGTCCTCACACCTGAATCTAGTCTCCATGGGACACATCTCCCTGTTCAAGAAGGGGTAGCTGTGGGCCATGTTTGTTAACTCTGTGGAGGCCACTTCCCTCCCGGGTGATGTTGTAGGGGCTTGTCCACTGGGATAAAAACCAGGGAGGGAAGAAAAGCAAATAGAAAAAAAGCAAACGACCTTCAAATGGCCCCGAGTAGAGTGGGCAGCACTGGAGATTAGACATCTCATTCCCTTCCCAGAGATAGCAAGAGAGAGAAGAGCAGGTATTTAAAATGGATTAGCAGAAATTAATTAAATTGCTAAATTACTCTGGAATTACATGATAACCCTACTGATGCCATTAGAATACATCATGATTAGCATCAGTGCAATTAACTCCCAAGTATCTAATAACATTCTGCCCCTCTTTTTGGTGTCTAATTAATTTATGTCCCATTCTTTTAAAGCTTTTCCCATAATAGATAAATGGTAAACCTACCGACCCTTCCAATTCCTGCAATGCCTCTGGCACTGGTACTGTATAAAGATGCTACATGAGCGCTAACCATGTTCCAGATGATGGCGACTGTCATTTGGAACATGAGTCAGTAACTTTTATGGGACACAGAGTTACTCCTGCATGCAGAAGATTAGAACAAAGGGATATCCACTGCATTAAGCGCTCATACAGACATGCCTTCCAGGCTGCCATAAGTCATCGGACACAGCACCTGCAGCTAGTGTGCAGTCTGATTTCAGTGCCTTCCTCCCTCATTCTGGCCAGTCAATCCAAAAGGAACTGCTGGGAAGTTCTGCAGAAGACA